AATAGCCTCATATTTTTTTTCTACCAGGCCATTATAATAACATTGAAAGTGGGTTCCAAACCTTCATTTTCTTCTCCTCCAGTATATCATACATACTGTTGGGAGGTACAGCATTCTGATGTAGTGTTTTGCATAATCTACTTCTTTCAGAAATACTTGTTTACTATTTACAGAATAAAAGCTGGGTCCTATTTATCTTTGTACTACTTCCAGTCTTTCTATTCTAATCTGAAGGTTATATTCTATTACTTGAACACACAATACACATTTCAGATGGGTAGTCTTTGTTTATACTGTTTCTGTTACCCTACTTTTCTCTCCCTGTCCCTTCTTGCTTGTTCTAAGTGTGATCCTTCCAGACATAACTCCATTATTTTCCAAATTTTTTTTTTACATTCACACTTCGTCTAACTGTTCCAGCTCACTATGATGTCATCGTTTCCTGTATGCTATATAGCACCTACAATCTGGATTCCTCTTTAAAATAAATATATACACCTTATTTATGTACTAGAGTGCATGTCTATTCTTTTAACCTCTTAAAGGTAGAGAATGTAAGGTATACTTTATGTTGCAGCACATATGAAAATGTTGAGTATAAATATCACTGAAGATTAACATCTGGATTCTACATTTGTTATGAAGTTGTCATTACTAAGATTATCACATGATGGTTTAGTCATTATAACCTTTGAGTCATGAACACTCTTCCTTTGACAAACACCATATGTTTGTGATACTACACAGATTTAAAATTTCATTTTTTCTCCTCCACAACACCATAACTAGAGTAAAGGAAATTTGCCTTAAAAGAGACATTATCAATGACATAAATCTCACTAAATGAGTTTTAGACTCTCTAGAACTGAGAAACTTTAATGTGGTAAACTTAGCTTTAGGGTATTTATGATACAGTGACTGGTTAGGAAAGCGTATTATTCATTATCATTATACCTTTATTAAATGCCACTTCTATACTAGATCCTAGGCATTGGACAACCAGTATGTGTAAGACCAGCTGTGCATAAAATTAGTAGTGCTACACAGTCGCTGAGAATTTCTGTTTGAGACAGTTGTGTCAACAAGTATTGTAAATGTAGAGATTTGAAGTGACTCCTGAAGGAGATCAGTTTTTGAGCAAGATTCTGAAAGAAGGGATGACATTCTAAGTGAAGTATTTCATGCATGTACTAAGAATGGACAGAGTATGTTCATGAAACACAGACTCTTTGAATGTGGTATTTCTATAAAGTCGTAAATTGTGTAAGTTGTGGCTAAGGTATGGAGGATTTTGACTTATATTCTTTTCATCGTCTTCACTATGTAGGTAGTGGGGAACATTTTTGGGTTTTGGAATAGAGGCTGGAATCTACAGATTGGTTATTCGGAAATCAAATCTGAAGAAGTAGAGTCATAAGGAATACAGAGTTTGAAGGCAAATTGAATTCATGTTCTTTGACTCCTCATTACTCTATCACATTTTCTTTTTAAATTTTTTCTTAATTTTATGTTAGTATTCAGTAGTTGTGTTATGCTAAAAGTCTTCAGATTATAGTACGGTTCATATTTAACCTTCTTAAAACATAATATTTTAATCAAAACAATGTTATGTTCTCCTTGTTTATAAAAAAGAACTACAAAGGAGGCCATTGCACTCATCTGGTTTGCACACATGTAGGCCAGGCCAGAGATGATTACTGTTACTGCTTCGTGAGTTTTTTTTGTGTGTTATTTTTAAGAAATACCTTTAAGTGTTACTCTTGTTAACAACATTTTATACAGTAAACTTGATCTTTACTTTCTTGTTATGATAGGTGATGATGTAACTCACTTCACCTTTTACTGATTTTTATTTCTTCATTTATCATTGTAACAGTAAATAACATCTTTGTATTTCTTGTTCATTAACTCTGGATGATTTTTTTGATTCACTAATTGGTGATATGAAGATTAGCAAGCGTACTCTCCCCCTTAACCTCTTCTTCTCTTTACCTGCCAAATTCAGTTGGCTATCCTATATTTGATGTCCATTCCATCCTGTAACCATGTTTATTATATCTGTGCTCTGCTTATAGGTTGATTAAAAAAGTTAAAAGGGAATGAACAGCATTTACATTATTATTTCTGCATAAACAGCATCAGTGATAAAGCAGTAGTTATCATTATGATTCATTTTCGATAGTGCCATTGTTTATAACCCCTGACCCACTCAGAAGAATATTCTCAAATAATCTTTCTCATCACCAGTTGATTGAAATTATGATAAATTTTTATATGCTGCCTATTTGGACCTTGTCTCTTATGTTCATTTTTTTGTTTTTATTTTTCCTATTGTGGAAATAAATGTGGTTTTCTTACTATAGATTTAATATGTTCTGTCTCTTTATGATTCTAATAATTACATAGGATCTTTCCATCTTGACATCTAAATTCCTGTTCTACATTATATTGGTTGCATCATAGCTTCACAGACTACAGCTTTTTTACATCTTCTCCCCTTCCTACCTCACTACATTTATAGTTGCCTTTTTTTCCTCTCTTACAGTGCTCTATCATAGTCCTAAGTTTTCTTAGTTTTTCATTCATACTACCTTTTCTATCAATTATATCTTAAGGTAATTTTCTAAGAATGTGGGAGTAAATTTCAGATTGCTTACATTTCCATGAACATGTTTATTTCAAACTTAATTATTTGTCTCAATATGCAATTCTAAATAGAAAATAATATTCTGAAGGAATTCTCCATTTGCTGTTATCTAGTGTTGGTAATGAGCAATCCAGTCCCAATCTAATTGCTTGTCCTTGTTGAGGAAACTTTTTTCTCTGAAAACCTTCAGGATCTCCTTTTTATCCATAGTGTTCTGCTATATCACAGTATTTCTCTAGATTATTCTTTTCTCATTCCTCTTATTCAGAACTGGGAAATGATTTTAATTTGAAGATTTAATCCCCTTTAATTGTATTGTTTCCAGAAATATGATTTTCTCTGTTTTGTCTCTCTTCTATTTCTGTGACACCTGTTTGAAAAAGGACTTACCAGATTGTATCTCTAGGTCCTTCTCCTTCCCTCATATATTCTACCTATGCCATTTTGTTCTGTGAATTTTGTGTGACTTTGTCTTCTAATGTTGGTGTTTCATTTGAGCAGTCATATTTGAAATGTATATAAGTGCTCTCTCTTTTACAGACTTTCTTTGTTCCTTTTTTATATGATGCTGTTTTTCTTTTCTTCTTCTGTGAATACTACTGAACAAAGCAGTGTTTATATTCTCCCTAGGTTTGTCGAGAATACAAAGGCCTGACTAGACCTGGGTAGATTCTCAGGGTTGTGTGTGCAGTGACAAGCATTAAAGAGTAAGATGTCTCCCACTGAACAAAGTATCATCTTACTATTACTTACCGTAAAAACCATAATTGAAACCTAGTGTTTCTCTTCTGTAACCCAGTCACCTGTTTCGTGCAGGAGGCTATGAAGAACCCTTTCTGTTACTCTGTGAGACTTGGGGCATAGGGAACTGATGCAAATCAAAATCAAGTAATAGAGTCCCTTTTCTCTGACCCAGGAAACAGTAACAGGCTGGCTTGTTAGCTTATATTATATGTATGGTAAAAGCTCAGACCATGCACAAATACTGTATTCTTGACAAATAGAATATCTTTTCTGAATTTTTCTAAGTATGTTAGTTACAATTACATTTTCTTTTTAATTTTTTAAAATTCTTTTAGCATCTGTTTGGGGAAGTTTTTAAGAAATCATATTAGATTCTCCTCAAATCAGTCTTTTTTTTTTTTTTTGGTGAACGCTAACATTGGGACTGGTTGCGGAGGGGGCAGAAGTTTGGTCTGCTATTGAATATTAAGAAGTTTAATTATGACATCTATTTTTACCTTCATGTTTTTTTTTTTTTTAAATCTCCAGACTCTGCTGCTACTGTAGCTAATATTTTTGTAGATTCTTATTGTACTGTAATCTCCTTTGAGAGTCTAACTTCCTCCATCAAAACTTTTCACCAGCTGTTTTTCAGATGTTTGTGGAAATCATTCTTTCTGCTGCTGACTCTACCCAAGTCCTTTTGTTATTGTTAGATTGTACCTTTTTATTTCTTTACTTTCATTTTGGGAACAGGGAAGAGATAAACTCCAGAGAATAGTCAACCGGATGGAAGAAGCAATTTTATTTTTTAAAAGTGTCTTAGCAATAACATGTTGCTTCTTGTTTCTATTACTGTGCTTAACATCCTCCTATAAGTGCCATTTTTCTGATTCTCCTCTCTTCCTACATCTAAATATAAAGTTTTATCATCTGGAAAATTAGCAAAATATCTAATAAAAATGTGTTCAAAGTAGAAAAAATATCATCTTAGAGAAGGATTTGTTGGTGTCATCTGGTTTAGCTACGAAGAGAAATCTTTGCTTATTTTGGTTTGAATGTAAATGCATTTTTAGATAAATGGAATGAATATATAAAGTGCAGTATAACTGTATTTACAATTTTAAAATTTCTTATGAATTTTGTTTTTCTGTGAAGCTAAATTGCAAATATTCTTAAAAATTGGTCTTTGCATTTTTCTAAACATTATTGGAAGATTTAATTTATGTATATAGGAATGCTGCAAAATGTTTTTATTCTCTAGAGTAAGAGTTGGCAAAAATTTTTATTTAAAGGGCTAGACTTTGTGATACATGTAGTTGCTGTTTTATTGTTACAACTACTCAACTTTGCCCTTATATTACAATAGCAACCATAAGCAATATGTAAATGAGTAAATGTGACTGTGTTGCAATAACGCTGTATTTGTGAACATCAAAATTTGAATTTTATAGAATTTTCACACCAGAGAATACTTTTTTATAACTGTAAAACTATAATTTAAAAAGTATACTTCACTTGTAATCTATACAGTAATTGGCCAGTGTTTGCCCTAGAGTTGTCTGTTTTATTAATTGCTTTATAGATGCTTCAATACTGATGTTTCACTATGCTCCATTATTCTTATCAGGCAAGCTAATGAAGAATATCAAATACTGGCAAACTCCTGGCGCTACTCATCTGCTTTCTGTAACAAGCTCTTCTTCAGTATGGTGGACTATGATGAAGGGACGGATGTTTTTCAACAGGTAAAAGTTACATCTCATTCATATATTAACACACTTGTTAGTGGGCAATACATTTTTGTTTGGCACATAAAAACAGAACTCACTCATCATCTGACCCTGGGAGGCGGAGGTTGCAGTGAGCTGAGATTGTGCCACTGCACTCCAGTCTGGGGGACAGAGCGAGACTCTGTGACACACACACACCCACCCACCCATCCACCACACACCATACCTAATTCATTCAATAAGTTAAATACAGTAAGTAGTTATAATAAATTTTGTGAATGTGATTAACATAATTGTGGCTAAACTTATTTTTATCATTGTACAGGTTTTCGCCGTTATGTTAAATCCATTTTAACTATTGCATAATACAGGCAATGTGTTTTTTCAGCATGCAGTGGCAGTTTACATGCATCAGTCTTATTTTGGTATTCAATTATAGGTAGTATATTATAGGTAGTATTTTGCAAGATTTGTGACATTTTATATAAAATCTATTGCAAGTTTTACTTAACTGTTATTTTTTTTCCAATGTGGCAGATACAGAGAATTTTACATATAAAGGATTAAATGTCTGTTTAAAAGTATTTTCTCTATGTTATGGACTGAATTATATCCCCCCAAATTCATAAGTTGAAGCCACAGCTCCCAGTGTGACTGTATTTGAAGATAGGGCCTTGAGGGAAGTAATTAAGGTTAAATGAGGTCCTAAAGGTGGAACCCTAGTTCGAAAGGACTGATGGCCATATAAGACGAGGAATCGAGAGCAGGAGTGCATGTGCACAGAGAAAAGGGCCATGTTAGAACACAGCAAGGTGATGGCCACAAGCCAAAAGAGAAGCCGCACCTGAAACCAACTGTGCTGGCACCTTCATCTTGGACTTTGAGTCTTCAGAATTGTGAAAAATAAATTTCTGTTGTTTAAGCCACCTACTCTGGAATTTTCTGTTACAACAACCCAAGCAAACAAATAAACTTATTTACTCAATCTTCTCTAAGGAGCAAGGTATTGCACTTGAGATTGGAATGCTCATTATCATCGACGTTGTCATGGTTGTATCCATGATCTTTGTTGACTTCCTATCAAGAGCTTACGTTCAGGCACTGTTGTAAGGGCTTCATATGTATTATTTCATCTAGCTTCACAGTGAGGAAAATGTTGTTACTGGCTCCATTTCATAGATGAGGAAATAAGGAATGAAGAGATTATTGCTTGTCCCAAGTCACAAAGTTAATGTAATGTGTAACTAGAATTCAAACTCAACTGTCTGGCTTCCAGAGCCCTAGCCCTTAATCATGCTATTACCCTGGAGTTAATTTTTTTAAAAAATGTTTTTGCTATGCGAGTAATCCCTTTAAAATGCAAAACTTATTGCAGTCTTGGAATTGATCCTTTTGGGTACCTTGGACTATTCAGTTTTTCTCACATGTGATACTGTTTGGCATAATGCTTACTAGGTCATGAAAAAGCACGTAGTTCTGTAAAGAATCTAGCCTACTAATTGTAAATCACCATTAGTGAACATTTTAACTTATTTGCTTCCATATTATCTTTCTTGTGAGTTTCTGGTTGAATAAAATAAATGTTTTCTGTTTGCCATTTTGCTCCTATATTCCCTATTCTATAGGAGCAATAAATTTAGCAAGAAAAACATAGATTCTTCTTCTGTATAAGCAGCTTACAGATTAGGGAGCTAATATTAATCAAGGAAAATTACTGTACTATAAGAACCAAATATTATTTCATGTATATTTCACTTATAGATCTCTATGGAATCTCAGGATAATTGGCCTTAGAGATCATCAGATAGAAGTGCTCCTTGTTGTATACTTGAATCCTCCCTGTCATATTGGTAAACAGTCTTCTAGGTCCAACAGGACTGCTAGAGCAGGGTCTTGCAGCCCAGATATCTACCATGACTAGACCTGTGAACCAAATGAAGAAAGTTAGCTGTGTTAGTTTAGTTTCATTATATCTTTGTTATGCCATTTTTGTTGATAATACGTTATCTTTGTTTTGTTATGATACCTAATATACTATGTACACACTTAGCATATTAAACATCATATTTACTTTTACAAATAGGCTTTCTCCTATTTTTATCAAAACACTGCCTTTCTTGGTATGTCTTTTTAAAAAATCCTTAACAGAAACACTCATATTTCACTTTTTAAACGTATTTTTATTTCATAACTACTGTAAGAAACAAAATTGCCAAAACACCGTGATCTCATCCTTGGTGTCATTGTTGGGGAAGCAGTATGGTGTGGGTGGGGACTGTAGCAGATTGGAGAGAGGACGTGCTTGACCTCAATGGGAGAGGTACAGCTCAGTATCAGCTCTGTGGAAGAAATGTAGGCCACATGTAGCTAGATCTCTCTCAAGAAAAGATCTAAATACAAATTTTTATATGAAATTTCTCACTTTAAAGTGTTGACAGTTAATTCATATTTAAAAAAAAAAACTTTATGGGATATTGCTGTCTTTGTGTTGAGTACTGAATGTAGGCTCCTGGTATATAATCGTATAAATAAATGGTTATATATAATCATTAAATTCTTTTCTATGCTTTAGACAAAATTATTCTAAAGTTTGGTGTATAACAGTTGAAGTCAGTTGTTTTTAATTGAAACATTTCCTGAGGTTAATTTTGATTCAGCAGGAATCCTGGTAGAGAACTGCTTTGTGTTTCCCAAAACCTAGCCCTTGGCTTAGCAACAGGAATTTTCATTTTAAAAGGCAGAAATGTGTAAAAGTTAATGAGTTTTATGAGGAATTTTAATCTACAAAAATGGAGAAGTATATGCTTTGCTTCACTTGAGAAACACTAAAAGATTTTTAATGCTTATTTTTTTCCACCTGACTATTAAATCATATTTTGTTGAAGTACTTTCTCTGAATTGATGTTTTAAAGCACTGTCAGCAGTAATGTGGTGTCTGAAGATAATATTAATAACAAGTACAGAAATTTGGTAATTTGTTGAGGACTTACTGGGAAAGTAACTTCATTTATACGTGATTCCATAAGAGTGGCTGAGGCTAGATGTCTGATGATAGCCAGTGGGTTGATGAACATGATGTGTTAGAAGAAGCTCTCAGCTAGGAAACAGGTCTGTGTTGTACTCTGTTGTGGGTCGCCCCGGGGAATTGTGCACTTTAAGAAAAAATACTTAGAATTATATGAGATTTTAAGAATCTCTAAAATTCTAGAACGTTAGGCCATAGTATGGATTTGCTGATGGTTTTCATGTGGGGAGTGAGGAAGATAGGGATTTTCAGCTTCATAATTTTGTATTTACATGGTTGCTTTAGATGTCTGTATATCGATGAAAGAAACACACATGAATAAAGTATGGAGTGGGAGAAGCACAGGGAAGAACAAACTGGTAATGTGTGCCTTGTTCAGTTTAATGAACATTTCTAAATCTCCATTCCATGGAAGCCCACTGCTGGGAAATGGAATAAGATAGACTCCTGATGTACAGCGCCATATAACGCTGATTATATACATTAGAGACATTTTTTAATATATGTTATATATACATGCTATATGTTATGTGTGTGATGTTTATACTGTATTGCACAAGCTTGTGCTTACAATTCAGTCTTCTAATGAACTAATTAAAAAAGATTTATGAAAAAAATATCGTAAAAGCGTGGTGAAAATGGTAAAACCCCCTTCTCTACTAAAAATACAAAAATTAACCTGGCATGCTGGCACATGTGTGTAATCTTAACTACTTGGGAGACTGAGGTAGGAGAATTGCTTGAACCAGGACCCTGGAGGCAGAGGTTGCAATGAGCCAAGATCATGCCACTGCACTCCAGCCTGGGCAACAGAGCAAGAATCCATCTCAAAAAAAGTAAGTTTTCACTGAATGGAGATAGAGTTCAGAAAGTATTATGATATCCTTGTTGGGAAGATTAAAATAAGATAATAATGTTAGAGTAAGTAGCTACGCAGACATGAGCAGGGCAGGAGAGGGTCCCCACCGCAGGTGACCATCATGTGACGGTCAGGTAGTGGTTAAACTTTCTCGCTAAAATAATAATTGATTGCAGCTGCAGGGAAAGGCGGGCTTCCAGTAGACAGAAAACACCTGCAGATGGTAATCAGCCACTTCCTGATAAGATCTTAGGACTCAAAAGAGTAGGCTCAAGCATGCGCTCTAAGAAAAAATGGCAGAGTTTAACTGTTAAATAACCTTTGTCTGGGAACACCTTTTCAGGTATTTGTTACAGTAGCACCTGGTGTCTCTGAGACCACTGTTTGTCTTAGTCCATTTTGGACTGCCATAACAATACCTGAGACTGGATAATTATAATGAACAGAAATTTATTTCCCACAGCGTTAGAGGCTGGAAGTCCAGTATTTATCTGCCAACATCTTGTGAGGCACTTGCAGCTGCGTCACATGGCAGGAGGTGACAGTGTGACAGATTCAAGAGGAGGCTCAACTTGCACTTTTATAATAGTGCTGATCCCACCCATGAGGATGGAGCTCTCATGGTCTAACCACCTCTTAAAGTTTCCACCTTTTAATATTGCTACAATGGCAGTTAGATTTCAACATGAGTTTTGGCAGGGACACTCAAACCGTATCAAACAAGGACTGACGTAATCTTTAGCCGTAGTGTTTGAAGAGTACTGATGTAGATAACATGGAGGTAAATAATAGAAATTTGATTGCATTTGCAGTACTAAAAATGAGACATTTTTGATATAGAGTCATTTCTTTTGAGTAGTCACCTTGTTTGTGCTAAGTTATATGAAGCACTATAAAATGATTTGGAGCTGTCTTGTAAATATGACTGCTGTAGTCAGAATTCATTTGTAGGGCAAGAACTGTTTTGGTCTTGACTGTGTACTTGGTTATTAAACTTAGTTGTTATGGGGAACTAATCTTTTACTGCTCTATCATTTCCTTGATGTCAACTGTGATCTAATGTATGCTTATATATTGATTTTCATTTTCATTATTAGAAAACACTGAACTGTGTTGCAAGTCAAGAGCTGAAAATCTCCTGGCCTTTCATTTTAAAACGTGTTTTGTAATTCTTAGGCAACAGCAATTTGATCCATATATATATTTGTAGTTTATTCCTTACTGTAAGGTAACTTAATATATGTTTTTAGATACTATATTGTTAAATAAACATCATTTATACTGGGGAAGTGTTCTGTTTAGTGTACTTTTCAAATAGAAATTACTCATAGAGAATATTTTTGAAATATAGCCAATTTAAGACAGTTGAGTTAATAGAGAAGTTGAGCAGAAAAAGACTATTATTGAAAATTTCTCCTGCATTCTCTGGTAAATTTAACTTGTGTAGAGCAGAAATGTTGGTTTCTCTTTCACAGTCATCATCATTACAAAAAAGTAAAGGCTTTACATTTCTAATAGGGAACTCAGTCTACTTACAACTTGTTTGAAATTAATTCCATAATATGTTTATTTTTTAAATCAAATTCCTGCATTTTTAAAAATAAGCGCCTAAGAAATGAAATAATTATTGTACTGCCAAATTGCTGTTTCCGCTTTGCACTTTCAGTCTTTTTTTTTTTACCCTAACTGTAGAATTCAAGAAAGAAAAAGAATGAAATGATTAATAAAATATAGAGAATTTAATGGATAACATGAATGATGTATGTTAAATGTGAGGATTAAGAGAACTTAGTCAAATTTACAAGTTTTTTTTTCATCCAGTAGTGCATTAAGATAAATAAAAACAAATTTACCTCTGGAAAACCACTTGGATTTCATAGTAAATGCTTTTTTCCCCAAATTTCTACAGAGAAAAGTGTAAAATGTTGGGTTAATGATAAATATTGTGGGAATGATACTATATTTAGTAATTTTTAATTCATGTTTTACAGCTCAACATGAACTCTGCTCCTACATTCATGCATTTTCCTCCAAAAGGCAGACCTAAGAGAGCTGATACTTTTGACCTCCAAAGAATTGGATTTGCAGCTGAACAACTAGCAAAGTGGATTGCTGACAGAACAGATGTTCATGTATGTTTTTATTCTCTGCAGTTTTAATGATAGGCTGGTTAGTTTGGTTTTTTGGAGCATTTTAATAAGGCCACAGTATTTTTAAATTTCTCTCTGGTTATTTCTCCTTGCAGAGAGAAAACTACGTTCAGTCACTGCAAATAAATTGAACTTTGACTGTTAGGTAAATTCAGACCGTTTTTAAAATAATGGTTCATTGATATTTTAAAAGCCATTAAAAAGCACAGGATTTATCACAAGGTAATTTCAGAGGCTAAAAAATATATTTTCAATGGTTCAGTGGTAGTAATCAAGGAAATTCTAATTAAAAAGCAAGATATATAATTTTTATCTATCTTTTGGGCAAACAGAAAAGGTTAATACCCACCTTAAAGCTATGTGGAAAAATATCGACTCATATTTACTACTTTTGGGTGTAACCATACTAATAGCATGTGCCATGTGTTTATGTAATTTAACTTAACAATTCCACTTCTAGGAATTTAATCTAAGGATGCAGTCAAGGATGATTTAAATTTTGATCCATAGAAATTTTGAAAATAATACTGGAAAAAATTGAATATAAATCAAATGTCTAAAAATAAGAGAATAATTAAATATACTATATCATAGCCAAAAAATGATTTGCAAGAATATTTTACCTAGAATGAAACTCAAGGTATAAAAAGTTTAAAAGTAGGTTAGAAAAATAGTATTAGTTGATAGTAAGATCTATTAGTTTGTTATAAAATGTAACTGTGAGTATAGATAGATATAGACAGTTTATCATGGGAAGAAGTGAACCAAAATGTTGATGGTAGTTAATACTTACTTGGAGGTTTTATGGCCATTTTTTTCTCTCTGCTCACAACTATTTTCAACAGTAAACAATTGGAATCAGTTATTTAAAAAAAAAAAAAGTTCATGTTGGCAGTAATACAGAAGCATTAATTTTTATCATAAGATATAAACACATTTCTGAGTCAAGGTGGTAATCTGCCATATGGTGCTACTGTCGTTGTAAAGTTACATCATTGGTTTTAATGACATTTTGGTAAGTAAACTTACTTCCTGATGCTTGGCATTTTTTAATGATTTGGCAAATATTTTGCTATGCAATGCATCATTTAATTGGTGCTAGACATTTAAGAGTAATACCGAAAGGGTACTGTTGTTTCCTTTTAAGAAATGTTAAATTTTAATCAGAAATTATTCTAATCTATCTCCTTAGCAAACTTATGCATTTAGTCGATAGATATACTTTGGGGGAAAAAAAGCTGTATGTAGAAAGAATTTCTAAAATTTTTTAGAAATGAAAATAATACAGTGCCAATGTATACCCTTTATTCAGGTTCAATTGTTGTTAACATTTTACTCCATTTGCTTTGTGATTGTCATTCTCCCCACTACACCCATGTCTCTTTGCCTTTCTCCACACACACAGACACATATGCACAATTTTCTTTTTTTTTGGAAAAAAAAATTGGGGTGAATTGCATATTGAAAGAAATAAGCAAAGCATAATTATCAACTTCACAAATTTACATTTATATAATACTTTTATTAGAGCTACCACTGACCATATTACAATTTTGTCAAGTGACCTAATATCCTTTACATTTTTCACCTTCAGTACAAGATTTGGTCTAGAGTTAGATATTTCATTTAATTGTCCTATCTTTTAAGCTTCTTTTAATCTGGAATATTTCTATAACCTATCTTTTTTCTTTAAAAACATTGACACTTTGAACAATATAGGCCTTTGATGCATTATGATCCTCATTTGATCTGCCTCATGTTTGCTCATGATTGACTTCTGCTTATGCATTCTTGAATATAATACTACATAGGTCATGTTCTGTTTTCATCACCTCAATAGGCACGTAAAGTTCATCTGTCCTTCACTGGTGATACGAATTTCAAATATCTGATCAAGATGTTTCCCATTTTTTCACTGTGTAATTACTGTTATTTTTGTCCTCCTTCATAATTAATAAGCTGTCTATGTGGAGATACCTTAAGATTATGCAGATATCCTGTTGCTTCAATTTTTTTTTTTTTAAAGTTAGCATACATTGATGATTCTTGCCTGTCACAGGTTTTACCATTTTGATACAAAATGATGTTTCCACTTGTAGCTCTTTCTTTCATATTTGTAGTTGGCCCTCAGCATTTTCCAGTAAGCAAGAGCCCCACTCTATTGATCCATCCATCCTTCCATCCATTCATCCATCCTCCAATTATCTGTCATTGGTATGAACTTATGAATTGTGATTTGTATTATAAATAATTTTATATGTTTTTTATATTTGCTGTGTATTTTGGATATTGACATTCTAAAAAAAATCTGGCTGGGGAGAGTATACCTCTCTTGGGGATAGCCAGTTCTTAAAGATAACAAGCCCCCAACCAGGAGCAAATCTTTGATATGCAGCTAACCAGTCCATAGCCACACTACTTCTCTCTTGTCCATACACCCTGGGAGACAATATTCCTCTGCCTTAGTCATCTCAGGGCCAAGTACCAGACAGCTATAGACCACTCCTGTAGCCCAAAGCCCACCAAAATTATTTAAACTAGTCAATCCTAAAGTGTTTACTCTGCCCTGCCTTGCCTTTCCCATGGAAATTCCTGATACCTTACACTAAAATTAACTCCAGATGGATTAAAGACTTAAACATAAGACCTAAAACTATAAAAACCCTGGAAGAAAACCTAGGCAAAACCATTCAGGACATAGGCATAGACAAGGACTTCATGACTGAAACACCAAAAGCATTGGCAACAAAAGCCAAAATAGACAAATGGTATCTAATTAAACTCCAGAGCTTCTGTACAGCAGAAGAAACAGTCGTTAAAGTGAACTGGCAACCAACAGAGTGGGAAAAAATTTTTGCAATCTACCCATCTGACAAAGGGCTAATATTCAGAATCTACAAAGAACTAAAACAGATTCACAAGAAAAAACCAGACCCATTCAAAAGTGGGCGAAGGACATGAACAGATACTTTTCAAAAGAAGACATATATGAGGCCAACAAACATGAAAAAGTGCTCATCATCATTGGTCATTAGAGAAACGCAAATCAAAACCACATTGAGATACCATCTTAAGCCAGTTAGAATGGCGATCATTAAAAAATCTGGAGACAACAGATGCTGGAGAGGATGTGGAGAAATAGGAACACTTTCACACTGTTGGTGGGAGTATAAATTAGTTCAACCATTGTGGAAGACAGTGTGGCGACTCCTTGAGGATCTAGAAATAGAAATTTCATTAGACCCAGCAATCCCATTACTGGGTATATACCCAAAGGATTATAAATCTGTTCTATTATAAAGACACATGCACATATATGTTGATTGCGGCACTGTTTACAATAGCAAAGACCTGGAACCAACCCAAATGCCCATGAATGATAGACTGGACAAAGAAAATGTGGCACATATGCACCGTGCAATACTATGCAGCCATAAAGAAAATAGGAGTTTGTGCCTTTGTAGGGACATGAATGAATCTGGAAACCATCATTCTCGGCAAACTGACACAAGAACAGAAAATCAAATACTGCATGTTCTCACTCATAGGCGGGTGTTCAACAATGAGAACACATGGACACAGGGAGGAGAGCATCACACACTGGGGTCTGTTGGGGGGAGTAGGGCAAGGATAACATGGGGAGAAATGCCAGATATAGGTGACGGAGGGATGGAGGTAGCAAACCACCTTGCCATGTGTGTACCTATGCACCAATCCTGCATGATCTGCACATGTACCCCAGAACCTAAAGTACAATAAGAAAAAGAAAAGGAGTGACTTAACTTCCCTTCACGCTTATCTTCTGCTGCCTGATCACCCTGGTGTGTTTCCCATGTGGCCCTGCATGGCATAGCATGCCTCTTGTCTCTAGGAGACCTTGTTTTTATCTGATCTCTTATGTCTTCTCTCATGGCTGCACCTGATTGGTCTCTTATAAAAGAATACAAGACAGGTTTTTCTTCAGGTGGTTTATAATTTACTGCAGTTTTTAACTGTTTTGGTGTTGAAATTGTTCTAGATTTGACTAATGATAACATCTTCATGCTGGCCCTTATGTTTTTGTGACATATTTCTATCATTTTTCTTTGTTTTCTAATTTTTTGACATAATAATTTATTCCAGGTTCACGTTGTATCTCCCTTTCTATTCTGCCCAGCACTCAATTAGTCATCTCTTCTAGGAGTCCTGGTTTCTTTTATTAGGGAATGTTATTGGAACCAAGATCTGTATACATATTAGAAATCATGAGTTCAGACCATTTGGATCTATTTCTAAAAATAGTCCTCATGCTTTAAAAGATACCATCAAGAAAGTAGCCCATAGAATGGGGAAAATATTTGCAATTTTTCTACAAGATACTTATAGCTAGTGTGTCTGTACACACACACACACACACACACACACACACACACACACACACACACACACGCGTATATAGGACTCTTGCAACTTAATAATAAAAAGAGAAAACCCAATTTAAAACGGGCAAAGGATCGGAATAGGCATTTCTGCAAGGAAAATATAGAAATAGCTAATAAGCACATGAAAAGATGCTCAGCATTGTTAGTCATCAGGGAAGTGCAGAGTTGTTTTACCTAGCCATTATGTTTTAAGGCATGTATCTTTGACTCATAAAGAGAATGAAAATATTGTTAATGCTACATATGAAATATTGGGTGGCATGTTTCTGAGTTCTTTGTTTTGAAAATTAGGAGGACTAGAATATGATCAAGAGAAAAATTTTGTTATTTTTCTTTCACTTTTAAAATTTCCATTGTATTTTTGCAGATTCGGGTTTTCAGACCACCGAACTACTCTGGTACCATTGCTTTGGCCCTGTTAGTATCGCTTGTTGGAGGTTTGCTTTATTTGAGAAGGAACAACTTGGAGTTCATCTATAACAAGACTGGTTGGGCCATGGTGTCTCTGGTATGTTAATACATTGTGCTTTTTTTTTTTTGTCCTATTCTTTGTATGATAGCATAAGTTGTATAGTATTAACAAAATGAACCAGATTATAACTATAATAGACTATAATTCAAGTCTGAATGAGAAGTAACTGTTTAGAACTTGGATAATGCAGTTTAAGTTTTCTGTCAGTCAAAACTATGCTATCTTCTTTCTACTTTTCACTACTAAAATGTAATGTTCCTCCGTACTTGGCACAAGTGCTAAATAAATACATGTTGAATACTTCTAGAAATATGATAAGTTTTGATCAGAATTAATAGCTCAGAGTAATTTGCAGGTGGTTTAGAAATTCAGCAACTTCTGAATTTCTCATTCAGCTATTTCTTTCCTGACAGCTGTTTCTTGTGTCTCTTCTATGTGACTGATATTTGTTAGATACTGGGGATATAAAGTTAAGAAATAGACTGCCTGTGAGAAATGCCTTGTGGGGATACAGAGGAAGCAACAAATGGAATAAGTTCATGTGTGCTATGATGGCAGTAAGCAACAGAGTATTACAGGAATACATAGAAAGACACCTAACCTAGAGTAAAGGAAAGACAGGCTTCCCAAATTATGACATGAGCTGAATTTTGTAGAACAAAATGAAATTCTAAAGTCAGTAAGGCCAGGTATTCGACATAAGTGAAGCCTGGGATATTCAGAGAATTATAGTTCTGTGTGACTGGAGCAATGATAGATGGCAAGGCAGAAGGGGTCAGAGATGACACTAGAGTTCAACAGTTCCCAACTCACAGCCAATAGCCAAAAATTATTTGGATTTTTATACACATAACAATTTAGGTAAAATTGAAAATAAAATCTCCTTCACAATAGGAAGGAAAAATATAAGGTACTTAAAAATAAATCTAGTAAAAATTGTATGAAATATTTATAAATAGAATTTTGAAATTAAGAATAGATACATACACATATATGTAGATAAATATATATCAGTGTATATCTATTATAGATATGTATTATGTCTGTAATTTAATACAGAGTGAGACACTGTCTCCAAAAAACAAAAATAAAAATGTTATTAAAGATACAATGACAATGTATTATAACTACAATGTATTATGTCTATAATAACATAATATATTGTTTACAGCTAGTTGTCAGTTTGTTTCTTTTGCTTTCTTGCAATAGCCCTTCATCCTTTCCATCATGTTTTCACTAAAAAAATTAGTCATCAGGGGTCTTGATGACTAAGTTGGAAGTGGTAGGACAGACTGAGAAGCAGCCCAGGCAAGCGTCACCTTGAAGCAATTTCATTTTCTGCAACAATACCTAGAGCTCAGAAATTCAAACAGAACCTCTGTGGCTTTCTAGTAGATAGTCAAAATATAAATTAAATGTTTGGTCTTTTAAGAGCAAGGGAGATAAGATTTTTTTAAAGAAAGTTTCTTAATATTGTTTTTTCACTTTTGATGAATAAGTTAAAGTGGATTAATTAATTGTACTCTATTTAAAGTAATTGGACACTATGGGTGATCTTAATTACCTAAAGTCATTAAGTTCAAAAGTGTTTTGGCTTTTTTCCATGCTAGTTTTCAAGTTGCTTCATTCGGTAAAGCTGCCCAGGTTTCTTGGTAAAAATGTGCCATTTTCAATGTGTCATTGCAAAATTAAAACTTCTTTGGTATTTAACAGTTAATATATTGTCACTATTTTAGTCTATCAAAAATTAATATAGTCTCATCTCTTAATTATACTCAAGTAACAATAACCTACATTATTCTTATTCCTCAAGAAGAGCTCCGGAATTACTGCATTGTAAGCTAGTGATAATTGGCATTGCTATTTACTGATCTCTTTCTTCCTTTGGGGTATGCTTCATAACTGTGCAAAGGAACTTATATTGTCCTCATTTGATAAGCAAGGAAACAAAGATTCAGTAAGGTCAACTTGCAAAAGCTTACATAGCTAGAAAGTACCTGAACTGGGATTTGATCGCATTCGTCTGACTGCAAGTTGTGTATTATTGACACAAAGCTGGGCTTCTTTAAACCTGGGCACATATCTTATATGTTGGATATTCAACCCAGTAGATACAATGAGCTATCATGACTGCAAATAAATTCATAGAACAACATTTCTATGATGTATAGATGTTAAATACTTCAGTTGATCAATTTTATTGAAAACCTCTGCTATGTTTTACAGATTTATTATTATTATTATTATTATTTTGCTGTTTTACTTTGAATCTTTGAAAGCGAATTAACCTGGCATGGCAGAAGATACTCTAAGATATCTTGGCAGATATGCCTGCTCCCCTATCACAGCCTTTTAGAAGTCAGTAACAGGCTGCAAAGAAGAGACATATTCAAACAATGTGTTTTAAAACACCACACTTTATAAATATTAATATAAATAATAAAACATTAATAAAATATTAATCAACTCTTGTAATACTTTTCAGCATCTCCTCCAGTTTTTCTTATTAATACAGAAATGCTTTTGTTTCATGGCCTTTGGAAACTCTTTAAATCACTTAAACAATCAGATTAAATATATAATTTGAGTTGTCTTTACCGTTGCCTTCCTGATACCACTTGATTGTTGCTTATAAATTGAAAAGCTAAATTTGTTCATATCAAATTTTTCTTATCCTATTATGAGATTTCCTTAGAAAGTTAAGAGAGTGTTCAAAATGCTGACCTATTCATTCAAATTCTCAAACATTTGTCTATTTAAAATAAATACTGTAACTCATTTTTCTTTGAAAGTAAGGAAAACAATATATATTTTTAAATTTGCCAAAATATTGTCATCTGACTTATGCAAACTCTCATGAAAGCCTTTGATTGCACAGTAAAAGGAAAGCTGTTAAAATAAAACAGTAATGAACCATTTAAGAGTAGATAGCTTCCATAGAACAAAAAGAATATGTACAAAAGGGAGGAAAATGAATGAGAGAAATATCTGGTACTGAATCTCTAGCCCCATGCTGACTTTTTAGTAAAGAACAACTCTAGGTGCATTTAGCAGTTGTGTCTTTTTATCATTGAACCTATACAAAAGTACATCCAAGGAGAATTATTTAGTGTTATGAACACTTAGTTCTGGGTAGACTGTATTCTAAGGCTGGTATTTTTTTTCCTTTTTTTTTTTTTACTGTAGTATTAATTTTTTTGTATGTGACTTAAAGTTAGGGTAAGAATGAAGTATATGCTGGGAGAGAGGAAGTTATCATATGCTGTAGGGTGTAGGATAGAGACAGGTTGCAATTTCTTGACACAGAGGAAGTAATACATGCAAATATTAAAACATACATATGTGTTAGAGCCTCCTGGTTCTCAAGAGCTAAAGATATTCATAAGTAAATCTTCCTGGTCTCATGCTTCCTAAAGGCGGAAAAAGTTTTGTTAACTACTGTTTCTAGATCCTGATGATTGTTCATAGAACAGAATATGTATCATTGATTGGTTCTGGTTTCACTCCCTTCTGCCTTCTCTCACCCCCTAAATATGGAGGATGGTGGACAATAAGCATATTCATTACTTGCTTTATGATGAACTTAAAGTAGAATGATTGAGTAAAATATTGAAATACACTAGTACATAATTTCAGAGTGTAGCATAGATATGTAGTTTATGGTCTTGAGAAAACAATATTGACTTGGAAACAAAATGAGTTAAAATAGTGTGTTTTGTAGCCCATAATGAAGCTCTTCATAACAACCTATTCGTAGGTGACTGTCATTTCAAGCCAGAAAATATTAGTAGTATGAGTAGCAACATTCATTTCAAACACAAAGGAAAATATCCTAAGGTTATGCACTTAAAAGCATGAAAGATAAAGCATCATTAAAATCATCTAATAACCCAACCTTATAATCACAGTAAATCACAATAGGATAAAAGTTGTTTTCTGCTTTCTAATACTATCTGTATTGATGACTCCTACACCCCCTGTTTCTTTTGCCCCAAATGTTGTCATTTTAATGATTTAAATTCTTTGCAAATCTTCAAATTGGAAATTCGTATACATTACTATACAATATTCACATTCATGGAAGGTGCTTTGGCATGGACACATTGTGATTTATCAATAGAAATTTATTTCTTGTGACCAGAGCTACCGATGGCTCTGAGTTCATATGGGGTAGAAAAGGGTCTTTTTTCTTTCAAATTTATTTGAATGAAATTATATAACTTTTGATATATACAAATAATCTTTATGTTGTTCTGTTTAAAAATGAGGAGGAAATAATTGCTGATAATATTTTTTCCAATGAAGTAACTTGTTTTTGGATGACCCCAGACAGTTTTGCTCATCAGGCAACTATGACATTTGGCCATTTGAAGTTGGGTATGGTTTTTGCAAACAGGTATTGCTATGAGCAGCCATTTGTGTAAAGAGTTAGGAAAACAGAATTTTAAAATGAATTCGTAAATTTTTAGAATATACTTAATATATCTAATTCTTAATTTTCTCTAGTAAGAGGAAGCAGTGCCTTCAATAACTCAAAGAACATTTTTAAACTATTCATATATGGATAGATTTTTAAATTTGAATGTTGTTGGCTGAGTTTCTGCTTATCTTATTATAAAGTCACAATTAAGTAAGCCTCACTGTGAAGTTTCCATACATGAATCTACTACACTTCATGCACGGCTAATCTTCTTAATCCAGCTCTATAGTGGTTTTAAATACTTGTTGAAATTGTTTTCCTCAACGCATATTTCCTTTCCATGGAATTGAAGACTTTGTCTTAGGAAGGTTTTTTTGTTGTCGTTGCTGAAATGACCGTAAAGATACTTCTCATCTTTTCTTTCTTTCCTTTTTTTTTTTAAACAAATGCAGTATATGGATTGAACATAAATGGAAGAAATAATGATAGTATTTCTTTTTTTTTTTTTTTTGAGATGGAGTCTTGTTCTGTCGCCAGGCTGGAGTGCAGTGGTGCAATCTCGGCTCACTGCAACCTCCGCCTCCTGGGTTCAAGCGATTCTTCCTTCTCAGCCTCC